AAAAACATTAACACAAGATCCACTTTCTGGAAAAAAAAATTCAAAAAAATGTGTAACACTTCTACTTACATGCAATGCAACTGGCACTGAAAATTGAAGCTACTTTTTATCCATAAATATCAGAATCCATAAATATTAAATGGGATAAAAAAGGAAGATTTACCAGTTGATTGTTACTGGAATTAAACTGCCTGGATACAGATTTCAATATGGAATGATTATCTTGAAAAATTGGATAGACAGATACGATTGCAAAATCGCTACATTCTTTTGCTAATTGATAATGCGCCAGTACATATTATAGATGAAAATATAAATTTAATAAATGTGGCTGTACACTTTTTACCACCAAATACTACTGCACATTTACAGCTTTATGATACAGAATAATTAAATCTTTTTAAAGTCAGTAAGTTTTTTAATATTTTTATTAATTTAAAACAGCAAAAAAATTTAAATTCAAATTATACTAATCATGTGATTTCTTAATAATTTAAATACAATATCAAAAATTACTCATTAGAAATAGGATTGAGGCATATGAAATTTCACAAAAATTGAGAAAAGAGATCATTTCACTAAACATTTATGATGCTATTAATTTTAGCAAAAATGCTTGGAATTCTGTAAGTCAGCAGACAATTTTTAATTGTTGGTAACATATAGAAATTCTTCCACAAGATAAAATGAATGATGATGAAATTGAGAATTATGATAATCAAGCAATTCGTGATGAAATAGAGATATAAGAGCTAATTTACTAACTTCCATATGATGATTTTATGGATGTAACAGATTTTCTTCATATTGATGACAACTTAAAAAGTAGTGAAGGATTAAGTGATGAAGAAATTGTGTTAATAGTAAAATCTAAGAATAATGAATCAGAATAGATCCTAATGAAGGACCTTTGGAAGTAATTTTAAATAAAGAAGCCTTAGGTCATTTGAATGATTTTGTTTTATTTTTTGAATATATATCAGAGACTTCTATTAATTCAGATAAATTGAATATCTTGAAGAAATTAAGATGCTGGGTATTAACATCACACATTAATAACGTAAAGCAAACTACATTAGATAGTTTTATTTAATAACAAATAATATGTATAGATATAATAATAATATAATACATGTAAATACAATAATAATAAATTTTAATCGTTTAATATGATAATTAGTATATACCAATATTTAATCAATATAATATAATAATATTAGTATATAAAATTTTCAAAGTATACTGATAATTCTGTATACTGATACATTTCTCAAAACAGGAGCATTAGTACATAAAGATTCGACTGTATAAGTGATAATGTACCAATAGACCATTGAGGCATACAAAAATTACAAGTTATCCTATTCAAAGTTCATTTCTTAATTCATTTAGTTTTATTATTGATATACTAAAGGAATTAGTTTCTGTCTGCTTCCTGTAAGAAAATCATGATCAGCTATAGATACAGGCTCATTTATTGATTATAAGATGCAAAATATTTGACCTATTACAGGTACTCTAAGACCCACTTTTGCTTTGTCGTCTTGAGAAATAATAACAGATACATCGGCAAACATAAAGCAAATTGCTTTGCATATTTAACAGATGCAAAACAATAATGCCTGTCAATATGCTTCTTAGTGCTTGTATGTGAAACTTCAATTACAGCAATCTATGCTAAATAATGATAAGCTTTTGCAGCAATTGAATTAGCTTGTTGAGGTAAAAAATAATTATTTAGTGTTGTTCTTGCTAAGTAAATATTATAGTTTTCTTTCAGATTCTTATGTAAATTTTTAATAATTCGCATTTTAACTACTTCTTTTCATCTTTTAAATCAGTTGATCTAAATTTAATTGAGTTATGAATCTAGTTATATAAGTTAGAATGCGCAAAAAGTAATAGTAGGCGGTTAGGATTATTATATTAAACTATTTCTTGATTTTCAGTAAGCGTTTTAAGCTTCTTAATTCTACAATTTTATGTATATCTTACATTTCATTTTAATTTGTTGATTTTATCCTTATTTGCACTAATTTCAGATTCAGCCTTTTCTATTTTTAAGAATATATCATTTTTAATCTGAAAGTCCATTGTAATACTATAAATTTGATTTAATTCAACAAGCTTTTTCCAGTTACTTTAACTTCTTCTGCTATCTTCTTTTGAGCTGATGCATTTTTAGGAATTTCCAGTTCAACAATAGGTGAAATAGGTGGAATAAGCGAGGGAGTTGGTTCTATTATAGGATTAGAGTAGTTTGCTCTTACGGTTAGTATAAAATATGGGTTAATTGAAATAGATATATATTCTCATAAAAGATCAAAGTACTTATTATTTCTAATTTGGCTTTAAAAAAAGTTCGTAAAACTAAAATAAAGAGTTTAATTATATTGTTAATTTCAATAGCACTTTTACTCTTAATATTTTCTATTCTTTGGCTGCTTCACGACAAATAATAGCATGATCTGAAGTACTATTTCCCATTTTTAACATAGTATTATATGCATAAGCATTGGTAAATTCTTGATATTTATTATTTGGTGATTTAAAAATTAACTTTTTATTGAATTTAGAGCTATAAAAATAGGTTTGACAACTCATTTTTAAAAACTTTATATGAGATGAGTTTATAGTAGCAATAGTTCGCAAATTTTCTTTTATTAAGACAAAATTATTAAAATTCTCTTTATAGACATATTAAACATTAATAATTTGTATTAAAACAGCACGAAAATTCTTTAATTCACTATTAAAACAGCAATTATGACATGAAAATTCTTTAATTTTTTATTAAAACAGCAAATCCTTTACAATTAAATATATTAAAAAAGCATATATTTGCATTAAAATAGAAGTACGACTTTCAATATAAAAATAGAAAATATAATTTATTCCCTTAAAAAATGTGACATTTGGTGCAGTATAACTTATTAGTATTATGTGACAGCACAATTATCTTACATGGGGATGTAGGGGTCAGACTTTATATCAAACTGATATTACATAATAAATGTCATAGCCCTAATAGAAAGAGAAGAAGTAGCCAAATTTTATAAAAAATCTAAAAAATGAGATGATGAAAAAATAAAGCGGATTAAAGAATTAGAAACTGAAATTGTTCAATTAACTAAGAAAATAAACTTCTGAAAGAATAACAAAATGATCAAACCACTCAAATTGAAGTTAAAGATACTAAAAAATAACCTTGATTGAAATTAAGAAAGTAATTAAATTTCATAAGTAATTTTTTCTTCTTTAGATATTTCTGAAACATTTAGATATTATTGATTTTAAAAATATAAGAAGCAATTTTTTCTCTTTAAGCTTTTTTTAGAATGCTTCTAATCATGCTATAATTTCTTGATTTCATGGTGGATTTAATGTAAATTAGTTTTATATTAATAATTTTTATATAGAGATAATCTTATATTAATTAAACATAATCTTTAGATAATAATGGAAGTTTGTAACATAAAATTTGTATACAAGTTATTACTGTAATAATCAAAATGCTATTAGTCAAATTAGCTAAATTTCAGCTACATCAGCCTCTCATTTATGTCACATAATAAAATGTGCACTTTGTCTGGTTTTGTTGCAATCTTTTCCATTTACAATAGATAGCTTTTTAAAAAAACTTGATTAAATAAATTCAAGTTTTAGATCAGTTTTAATAAAATTTTATACTAATAAATAGGTTTTAACAAGCATCATTAATTAATAATTAAAATAAAAAGCTATTTTTTTTATTATTTCATAATATTATAAATTGATAATTGATTGAATTCTCAAATCTGATCAAAAGAAAATCATGTATCCCGAGATCGTGTGATTTCGATCAGTTGATCCGAATTTTCAGAATTTGTAAAATCCGTAAATTTTTTTTTGTTTTGCAAAATCACATTTTATTGAATTTATTACTGGTGGTATGTATATTTTGATCAAATCAAGCCAAATTTTTTTCATTTAAATTTTAATGAATTGTTTTCTTTCAAACGCAAATTTCCATTTTGCTTTTTAGAAAAATCTTGAATAGGGTTTAGTTTGTTTTGTAGTTTGCATGAATCCCAAGTGATCACAAACATTGTGTTTGTGAACACGACAACAATAATACTAAAACAAAATTTTAGATTGGTATTATCTTTAAAAAAAAAAGGTGGTGCATGTTATTGTAACATCAGGAACTCAGGAGTTAAAAAATTGTTTGCACTACCCCAAAAAATCTTTTTTTTGATTATCTCTTATGTCTCTTATCTATCATTAAACTTTTATTACTCGGATAAAATGGAAAATGTTCGGTATTACCGAGTTTTAAAGTTTTTTCCAAAAATTTCGATAGAATTCTACAAAACATGATATGAAATTTAGAAAGGATGATCGACGAAAATCCTTTTGGAAAAGACAATAAGGCTTCGTTATTGACACGATCAATTACGGTAAATAAATTATAAATACAAAATCTTTATTGTCTCGGCCGTACATATTACGCCCTAATCATTGGAATCTTACCAAAGACCGCATTACCAATGACCTTTCTGCATGTAACACGATAGATCGGCGAAAATTCAGGAAACGCTACTTCTTTCCGAAAGTTTTTCTCGTTAAATTAAAAGTATAAACTCAGCCCTCAAAGGTTGGAATACTAGAAAAGTCCAGGGAATAAAAAAAAAAAAAATTTTTTTTGTTCAAATTTACCATACTTGAATTGGCTTATAAAGATGCAGTAAAGCCTTGTCTATTTTGAGGAACTATTAAAACGATTTTAGGATCTATTAAAACCATTTTGGGACCATTCTTGTTTCATAAAAAATCCATTAATTGTTCACCCGCATACAACCTTGTAATACGATGATTATATATAAATTAGTTGGAAGATACAGATACTTCTTACAATCCATAAATCCCTTACATCCACAACAAAATAATTCATCTTACATCCCATACTACTTCATATTCATATTCATTTTCATTTTCAAAACTCGTTCCAATTATACATAATGTCCGATAAAAGACAAAAACCCGTAAGATCAAAGTCTGATAAATATCAAAATATTGACCAGGTTGAAAAGTCTGAAAAGCTAGATAAAGCCAGTATTAAGAAGGTAACTATAGACGCGACATTAATCTTTGAGACCTCTTCATGATCGATGGTGAATTAACTTCATCTTCTATAGGCTTTTGATGTCTTCGACTATAACGGTAATGGTATCTTGTCCCTCGCCGAAATCGATAGGGCTGTCATTGAGCTCTACCCCCAACTCGCAAAAGATAAGCCCGCAATCATGAGGGCTTACAAAGCCGCTGACGCTTCAAATGTTTGTATGAAATAGTAAAATCCTTTGTACTTTTGAAAACATATATTTAAACTATACAATTGTTAAAACTTCCATTAGGATGGTTTCATCGACTTTGAAGAATTTGGCCGCCTCGTGGATCTTCTTTATTATTACAACGACCTATTCAAGGTTTTTAAGAAACTTGATACAGATAGTGACAGACGTATCAGTTTTGAGGAATTCAAGAAGGGACATAAGCTCATTGGAATAGATGCTAGTTCGGAAAAACAAATTAAGAAGGAATTCGATGAAATCGATACGAACAAAGGAGGGTTTATCCTATTTGATGAGGTAATAAGAGGCCTCTGATTTTGTTATTCACGTTTCCAGATCTTTTGGTACATTCTAAACTAACAATGAAATATTCGCTTTTAACTTCAGTTCTGCACTTTCGCTGCCAAGAAAAAATTGATTGCAGAAATGCCCTAAGTTTTATTCATTGCTATATTTATTTTGATATTTTGGAAAGGTTCCTACCAAGTGAAAATATTTATTTATTGTATTATAGAACTTAAATAATATTTTTTTTTTTCATGTTTCAAATGTCTTTAGTTGGTTAATTCTTCGCGATATCCAGGGCGCTTTAATTAATCATTTACTGTAAACTTTATTTCATGGATGCGAATTTATTGATGTAATTTTGATAAATTTATTTAATAAAACAAAAACAAAAAAAACTCCCCAACCATTAATCGTCTAAACAATTGGATATCGTTTGCAAACATCATGATAAAATCGTATTAAATTCATGTACCATAATTCATCGTTCTCAGTAGACGCAACAGTTAAAATCTAGATTGTGGAGGTTATTCCATCAATTTCTTGTTAACTTTATTGCCTAAATAACTACAATTATTGAATTTCGATCTAACGACAACTGGAAAAGAGATCAACATAATATAGAATTATTCAGCGAATAGATTTCTGTTCATTTCAGTCCAATAGAATTATTTGTTTAGAAAAAGTCCTTTTTGTCATAAAAAAAATTTGATTGATACACGAATTTATTTGATCATAATAAAAATGCTTCTTTTGAAATGTTCCATTAAATATATATTCATATCGTTATCAGTATTATCACCGTACATGAAAATAGAATTGAACCAACAAAGTTTAGTTTCGTCGACTTGAACCAAGTTTGATTTCTCATCACAATTGAAGAATTAGTCTCTCTAAGTTTAATTCCTCGTGCAAGAAACTTTTTTCACTATAAAAGAGAATGAAAAAAGTTAGTAAAACCGAGTAAAGTATTTTGGCATTTCTATAAGAGAGGTTTATCTTCACAAAGGAAAAATAAAAAAAATCCTTTCAATTCAATAAGGGGGTCCACATGCGTCATAAGATCTCCAAACAAGGGAAGTATGTAGTAACTCTCGGGCATAGAAACAATTTTGATATCGTCATTAGATTGCAGAACAGGAAATACTTAATTACTACATATAAATGAAAAAGCCAACAAAAAAGAATAAGCCTTGGCTAGAAAGTCATTCATTTTTAATTAACATTTATATATGTAGATCCCATATGTTGATCGTGTAAAATTTCTAAATTTGGAAAGTCGGTTCATACTGGGAGAATTCTGTCCAATCAAATTAAATGGAAATTGCATGAACAACCGTCTCATGTTTACAATATATATACCTCAGTTTTTTTTAAGCCTTTATTTTAACTTCAATTAATTCCAGATTTTATTATTACAAATAATTTTAAAAAAAAATGTCAACACCTTTACTTTCTATTCCACCTCTAAATAGCTTTTCACTTTGCGATCGCAATTTGCTTAGTTATGATCACTCGAACCAGGATGCTTTTTGCAACGAAAAGCCTGAGCGACAGTACCGATCTGTGATTGTAACTCTGTTTAGTAACAAAAAGACAATGTGTTTGTTGTTTCCGACTGATGCTCTTATAACCGTGTTCGATGTTAAACAAGTCGTTTATAGACGACTTTTACTTGAACCAGAATTTCAGTGTCTTTATACAACGTCAGGGAAGCTTTTAAATGATTACGCTCTAATATTCGAAAACAGCAATGAAGATTTTATAAATATTACTCTTAAAATTCCCCTTCTTGGTGGAAAGGGTGGTTTTGGTTCTATGCTAAGAGCACAGGGAGGTAAAATGGCAAGCCAAAAAACTACCAATTTTGAGGCTTGTCGTGATTTGAATGGGCGTAGGTTGAGGACTGTTAATGAGGCTAGAAGGTAAGAAAACAATGTGATTTATTTTATTTATTTTGTTTTCGCTGACATGATTACAACTTGTAAGATTTATGGCTAATATGGCAATAAAAATATATATAATATTGTTTTTAGACTTGCCGACCATCTTGAACAAGAACCAGAACGTCAACGCGCTCTAAAAGAAAAAGTAAAAAAGAAAATCGAGGAAGGCATGCGTGAACATCCAATAAAAAAACATCGCTTTGATGACACTGATTATTTAAAGGCTAGCGAAGAAATGAAGGAGAAGGTACAGAACGCAGTCGCGGAAGGTAATGAATTAACTTCATTATAAATCGATCATCTTTATTACTATTTTGATGTAGCGTTTTACCAACTAATATTTGCTTTTTTAGCACTTCAAAAGCCAACCTCAACTAATAAAAATTCTACTTCTGTTGGTCCTTCAAATAATGTTGCCGCCTCATTATCGTTATGGTAAGTATTTGCTTATTTTTAATTTCCAACGCATTTTAAATAAATTCTTTTTAAATTATAAAATTTGTTCACATATTCAGGGATGTTGAATTAAGTGACTCTGATAATGAAGGTTCTGATGTTGAAGAAGAAAATACTGATACTGATGATAACTTGGAGGTTGCAGCAAGTAAGGAGGAAGGAAAAGGAAAAGGAAAGGATACTAAGAAGAGAAAATTGTCGGAAATCTAAATAAAAATTCGAAAAACGTTAAACTGTTGTGATCCAAGAATATTTAAATGTAATATAATAATAATAATAATAATAATAATAATAAAACGAGTAAGTATAACCTTTCAAGTCGTGTAATTTTATTAAAGATTATTATTAGACGAAATAAAATTACTTTGGTCATCCAAACATTATCGTTTTAATTATATAAAATTGATTCCAAGGAATAACAATGCTAGTTTTTTTGATTCATAATTCCTTTGTCGTCCTAAAAATACCTTTTCACTTGTTAATTTTTTTGAGATATCCCGAATTTATCAACTTTGCAATTGTTGAATCAGCTTCCCTAACCACAGCCTGACTTCCCTTAAGGAATTCGACGATGCCATTCTTTGTCATCACTCTCTCAAGATTTTCCATGACTCGAACGACCACATGGGGTTCTTTAGGAACATGTAATTCATCGTTTAAGTAAAGAGACTTTGGACAATTACTATTGTAATTATCAATAAGTTGTTCATATTTATTATAAAATGTCTGTTCCCAGTTAGTTAATCTATTGAATTCATTTTGAGGCAAACGCGTTTCCTTGCACGCAGCTTCTTTAGTCTTTCGGATCCTTTGAAAATGATATAATTGAATCGCGTTCAATTCTTTTTCCTTCATAGCATTATAAACACATAGCTTTCCAGAACTCGTGTGAACTTCTTCAGAGGTTGACTCGGTATCGTTAATTTCTTCGGTTGCTTGCTTTAAAACTTTTATCTCTTCGCATATTTCTTGGACTTTATCCCTCTCATAAAATAGTATGGTTTTCGTTTCTCTAGCTCTTTTTGTGATGTCAATGAGAGGTCTAATAGCGGAGTTGGTATACATTGTAATCTAATTGCTAACCTTGACAATTTAGAACGCGTAAAAAGAAAAAAGGGATGATTTGGTTAGTGTATTCACGTGATTTGTATTTATTAAAGCCTAGTAGAAATTCTAGTAGCAATTACTCGCATGTATAACCACCAATGATCGTTGAGTACGTAATTAGATGAAATTGTTAAAACCACCAAAAAATTTTTAAACGGGTTATACTCGTCGTTAATTAAACAAAAAAAAAAAATGAGACGATCTTTTGTATGCATTTACGCGTTGACATGGCAAATTCTTGCTTTGCTTATGTGCTCAACAATATTAGCACAGGATAGTGAACGCGGCTTTATCATAGCTGATATAAAGTTAGCTGTTACAAATTCCGAAGCCCAAAGAAAGCTAACCGAAAGGTATTTTAAAACTGTTTTTATTTTTTATCGTTATTTTTTTTTTTCATTTCAATGTAAATAATTATTAACCAATTCCTTTATTAATATAAAGTCTCACATATCCTTCTTCACTTGATAAACTAATCGAATTATCACAAGGAGATAATTTAAAAATGATTTTTACCATTCAAGATAAAGCAACTAAAAGTGGAATTCAACCTCATCAATCCTTGTTAGTTTTAAGTTCTCATCAAACGGGATCTCAAATACCGATACTCGTGAAAGTAAGAGAAACTGGTAAAGCTCGTGCCGAACTATATTTGAAATCACCAACTACTAGAAATCTTTTTTCGGGAAATTACTCGCTTAACCTTATTATTGGAACTTTTTCACACGATAATCCAATCAATTACCACATTGGAACTGTTAAGATCGATATCCCAAAAACATACTCCGCTCCCGTTAAATATGGTCCCAAACCTGAAATTCATCATATTTTTAATCCCGATCAAAAATTACCTCCAACGTTTCTCTCATACAGTTTTGTGGTGATAGTATTAACACCTTGGTTATTTTTAATCGGAGCGGTATTTTTATTTATTCATTAAACTTTTCAATCTTTTCAACTTAATTTTCAATAGTTACTAATTAAAATCTTTTCTTTTTTTTTTCCTTTAAAAAAGTGGATACATCTTGGTGTTAATGTTTCATTCTTGACTAGTGAACTCGAAACTCTTCCAGCCATAATTGGTTTCTTGGGCACATTATCAGCTATTGAAATCCTATTTTATAATTATTGGACACATTTGAACATTTTTCAAACATTATCATGGCTATCAGGGTTAAGTGCTTTGGCATTTTTCTTGGGTCAAAAGGCTTTAAGTGATGTACAAGAATGGAGGCTTAAAGGGCTTCGATAAATCGTTTATTTCAATCTATTATAATGTAATGACAAATTTTTTTTTTTATTAGTTGATTAAAGAAAAGGGATAAAACTATTTAAAGAAAAAAGGAATAAAAAAAAAAAAGAAGCCAATCTGATAATTATAATTGTAACCCACACCTTATTCAGATGATGTAGCCAAACTCCATAATAATAATATTTCTTAGGGTAATTTTAAACTTCCTTCAATAATGGCTTTTTATATAAAAATGAATATTATAGAATTAGTGTATATTTTCTTTCTTTTTTTTTTTTTTTTTAATAAACAAATTACACTCTCTCATTTTCTTTTTCTTCATTTACAAAAAGTATCATCTCCTCGAGACAACGTTCAAGTAAATCCTGTGTTACGGGATCAACAGGACGTATGCCTAACGACTATTTTATTTATTATTTTATTTTTTTTTTTTATGATAAATGTTTTGACGTTAATTATTGCTAACAGAAAAACCTTTGGTTCGTTATCAGAAAGTAATTAATGAAAATATAAAAACCTCGTGATAATACAGGATCGCTTCTTCGTATTCTTCTTTCACGTGATAACAGTACCCGATAGCTGTTAGTGCGCTTGGACTTGGTGTGGTCATAGTTGTAACCTTCTGAAAGTAATTAATAGCAGCATCCAGATCGCTGGTATCGTTTAAGGAGAATCATTGGATTTATTATATAATTTCATAAGGCGAAAAGAAAAAAGAAAAAAAAGAAATGGCGTTATAAACACTTGCCCCATCCTTTTAAATGCGTGTCCAAGATTCATCCAAGTAGTTTCCCATATCTGTGGCCTACATTTAGTCTCATCTACTAATATTAAAGCTCTCCTAAAATTATCAATAGCATCAGCATATTTGGACTTTTGATAAAACATTACACCCAATTCGTTATACACTAAGGGGTCTCCTTCACAAAGTTTGGAGCTTGTTGACAAATATTCATCAGCAGACAAAATATTATTTGCTTGAAGATGTTGCATACCAATGAAGAGACTTGGGATATGTGAACTGTTTTAAAGGAAAGAATCAATTTTATCCGATACTTGATTTCAAAAAAATTTAAACCGGAAATAACGAGAGTCGATTTTAAAATTAAATACCCTTCATATAATTTTGCTGCCGTGGAATAAGCTGTTATGGCCTGGTCATGCTCTGATTCCACAGCGAATGAATGACCAAATCCTATCCATGCGGGCCCGTAATGTGAATCCATAGTCGATGCCTTGCTATAACAAGCATTAATTAATTAATTAATTCATTCAACATGCGAATTATTTAATTGACAACCATTTGTTTTTTTTTCTTGCATAATACCTAAAATATCTTCTAGCCTCATCATTTTTTCCTACTAAATAGTTATAACATCCAACTCCGAACCATGTTACCGGCATATCCGGCGAATGTTCCACAAGTTCATGGGCTAATAAAAATAATTTATTCTTCTCCCGCAATTCATGAAGACAAACAATATGGATTGGAAGACACTTTGGATTGTGAGTATCGGATTCAAGAATCTTTGATGTAATTTCAAAGCACTCTTTGAATCTACACTGCGTATACAACTCTTCCGCGTGACTTAATAACACATCGACATTATTTGATAATCGCCAAGACTCCAATTCATGTCGTGCTGCTTTGATTTCCGGAAGATGCTCATACTATAAAATAACATTGAGATTAACCTTTTTTTGATTGAGAGCGATGCTTTTCATGAAAAGGTGGTTCTGCAATACCTTGTTGAGCATTGATATGTAGTTCATTTTCACGAATTCCGCTTCCTCCCTGTCCAGTTGTTCATCATACTTTAATTTAGTAATAAAGTCCCATTCTTAACGTACAACAGTTGATGACGACGAGAAAAAAATGTATCATGTAAATATGATGCCGATGATAAAATTTAACAAATAACTCATTGAATAAATAAAATAATCAAGTACCTTCGTTTGCTGTCATCATGTGATTCCCGATCAATTCATGGAATGCCTATTCGTTTTAGAAATAAATTTCATTGATTTCTTTTACGTTGAATCACGTGAGTGGAAAATACACCACTCGTTACTAAATTTTTTTAGGTGATAAACCATTTGTTTTCGTGACAACCAACCTCATAGCATTTTACATCCAATTCTAATGCCTCCTTGAAGCATCTTTTTGCACAGTCAAGATTGGCTTGTTGGGAGAATGCATAACCGCGTAGATAACACATAGACGCTTCGAGCTGCGTAAAAGAAAAGTTTGATATGATTTATTATCAACATGATGATCAGGTTTCAATTATTCAAATAATCGAACCTGAATGCCTCCTTCCGTATTTTTTACTATTAATCTATAGCCTTTAGCCAAAATTTTCAAACTTAGTTATTCAACAAATAAATAAAAAAGATAAATAACATTTCAACCGGAATTAACGATAACGTACCATCATCAACAAAAGGGTTCTCTTCACCTAAAAGTTCTAATGCTTCCTGATATTTTTCCTGTTTGATCTAATAATATACAACATCGCGTCAATAAATAATAACAATGATGATGAAAAAAAAAATTGAAAAAAAATGAGAACTTAATAAATAAATAATCAAAAAAAAAAACATGGTAATTATTTCAAAGTAAAAAAGAAATAATCAAACTCGAATTATTATTACTTAACACCGATCAAATGTTCATTTTTTCATACTCACGCAACACTTTGCAGCTAAAAATCTACAAGCGACACTAGTATCCATTAGTTTCCAGATTAATTTTTGAGCTCTAACATATTGTCCCATATTATAATATATTTGTGCTAACCAAAATATATCACTTGAATCGCCTGCGATAAAATGGATCAGAGTTAAAAATCTTGCTCCGTTTAATAACTAAACATCATGAATAAATGTATAAATGAATTACCCGTAATGGTCATAACTTTATTCCCCCAAAACGCTGCAGTTTCATACAAATTCTTCAAATAAGCATCATGCCTCCAATACCTTAATTTATCATCCAACTTGAGATTTGCAGCACTAGAAACAGTGCTGGCCATGCTTGTTCTAGCGTCATAATATGGAGAATTCGTAAGCATGGGTGAACCAACAAAAATATTGTCAGCATTCCCACTGACGTTAGCATTCTGAACATTGTCTTTATTATTTTGACTGTTTGTAAGAGGAAGTGGATATTTAAAAGGTGGAGGTGGCGTGGCTATAAGACTGGGCGTAGCAGAGGTACTATTATTACGAAGAAAAGAACGTGGTGTGGCTAGAGGGTCTAGGAATTGAGGACTATTACTTGGACGACGTGGTGGACTACCCATCAGGTTTGTCGTGTTTGTTCCAATGTCTGTATTGTTACTCATGTTATGATTTGTGTTATTATTGTTCGAATTGCTAGGACTAATAAGATTATTGATGCTCATGGTTGGGGACGTAGGGTTGCTGTCGTGAATATTATCGTTGTTAATGTTCGTGGTGTTAATATTCATATCTTTTGTTTAAGCTTCTCGTAAAGCACGTGTATGCTTATATGGTTATGGTTATGTCATGCATGTCATGCATTGATAACGATAATCTGATGCCTTTTTACATTTTTTGAAAGTGATAGCATATATAGATGGTTAAAAATATTGTAAACAATCTCAAAATTCCGAATATTTTAAGAGTTTCAATTAATCATATTATCAACTCACGTAAAATGTTACAACTATCTGAAACGGAAAAATATTCAAATTGGACTAAAGAACAACTTATCGAAAAGCTTTTATTCTACGAATCAAAACTTCAAGAGACAACGTTAAATCCTGTCACTACCTCTCTGGTAATAAATTCACCAATTTCCACAAAAAAATTGGACAAAAAGAAACAAAAATCGTCCGATAGGCCTTTTGATTGGTCAAAATATTCCAAAAGACACATCGCTTTAAAAATTGCTTATTTTGGTTGGAATTATCATGGATTTGCTTCCCAAGGAAACGAAGGTGATTTTCCTACCATCGAAGGACATTTGTTTAAATCCTTAATAAACGCAAAATTGATATCTGACCCATCAGATTGTAACTTTTCTAAATGTGGTAGAACTGATAAAGGGGTTAGCGGATTGGGTCAAGTAGTAACTTTAAATGTTCGATCAAATCTTCCAAAAGTTCCTCCTGTTATATTAGAAAGTAATGATACTACTACTATTACCTCCGATATAACAAATATTAAGTTTAATCATAGGAAAGTTGAAGAAGTATCATATGTTGAAACTTTAAATAGATCCTTACCAAATGATATAAGAATATTGGCGTGGGCTCCTGTTGATGATGATTTCGACGCACGATTTAATTGTAAATCAAGAAAATACAAATATTTCTTTGTTCGCGGAAATTTAAACGTAGAATTAATGAGTGAAGCGGCAAATCGATTTCTTGGAACTCATGATTTTCGTAATTTCTGTAAGATCGATGGTGCCAAACAAATCACCAATTTTAAACGTACGATACTTGAAGTAGGAATAGATCTTGTACGACATCAAGAGAATTCTTTCACGGAATTTTATGTATTTAACTTACGCGGTACAGCATTTTTGTGGCATCAGGTTAGATGTATGATGGCTATTCTTTTTTTAATAGGTCAAAATCTAGAGTCTCCATCAATCATTGATGAACTTTTGGATGTTACAAAAACACCCGCAAAACCTAATTACGAAATGGCTAGCGAAATTCCTTTGGTATTATATGATTGTGAATTTGATAATCTGGAGTGGCGGTATGGACGCGATTCCGACACTTTATACGATACTCCTTTAAGACTTTACAACCATATTTATGAACAATGGTATACTCATATGACAAAATCTTTGGTTTATTCAACTTTCCTGGAAGATCTTGATAACATAACAAATCTACCTGCCAAAAGGTCAACTTCAATTATTGTTGGAGGCGGTAAAGAACGTAAAATTCGCAATTATACCAAGATCTCAAATAGAAGAACATGTGATACAGCGGAAAGTAAGAATGAAAAGTATAATGTAAAGAGAATCAAATTGGATCAAAATAGACATGTTCAAGAGTAATAGATTTTTATAGATACATATATATTTGCATCACGTACAACTATTATGAATACTTTTATTATTATTAAGTTAATAAAGCGATGTTTACTTATGGCTAATAAACTCGGCTTGTTTAGAACATCGTTAATGCCTTAACAACGAATTACCTCTCGTTTTCATTTGGTCTAAAAAAATTAAAGATAAAAAAATTATGCCATTACCCAAAAAAATAATGTTCAAATCCACAAAGTACCCATGAGTTTAATGAGACTTATATTGAAAAACATAAGAAACAACTCCTTGATTAGCTTCCAACTTCAGAATTGGGTCTCGAGTCTTAAGAAGATCAGTTCCCCCAGAAAAATGATCCCATCTTTTTAAGTAAAAAGACAATAAACATTACCATAAAAAAAAAGAACTCATAAATGAGACATATACACAACAAAACTTACGAGCTCGTGTCACCATAACTCATATTTTCGCTGGGAAGCCTTGGAAGACTTTGAATTCCATTAATACACCTTTTGCACTTAAAAGTGCTATGAGTGTCACACATGGTATCCGGATCGAATTGGAACAGACGTCTTAAAGATTCAAGTGAAAAGTGTCTTTCAACGCCTTCTTCCTCATCAACAACACATGATGAGAGAGATTGCTTGTGTGATTGACGTTGGAAGATTTTCTCTTCAATCGTTCCAGTCGCGATAAATCGATATATAAAACCTGTTTAAAATTATTAATTCTATTATTTAACTTTCATGGGAAATTATTAAGATTTTCTCTCAAAACTTCTATATTAACTCACACTCTTTCTTTTGTCCGTCTCTCCAAACCCTTGCCAATGCCTATGGAAAAAGATTTATTAATAAACATAATTATACAAATGTTAACAAATTCGAACAATTAAGGAAATAGAGTTTACTTGTTGATCAGAAGCAGGATTCCAATCTGAATGTACACATAAATTTATAAGAATTGCTTAATACTCTCTCGAAGGAGGAAAAAAAAAAAAAGAAAAAAGAGAGAAAGACAGTACCAGGATCAAATAATACAAGACGATTTGCTCCAATTAAGTTTATGCCACATCCACCCGCTTTGCTACTCAGGAGAAACACGAATTCTGGGCTTTTCGGGTCGTTAAATCGATTTACAAGTTCCTGTCGTTTTTTTATCGACATCGAACCATCAAGCCGCAGACAAGCGTATCTTAAAGAGAAACGAACATTAGCATGTATGATAGATATGAAAATTATTTAATCAGCATATTACCTTCTCATCCGGCATAATTTTTCGAAAAGATCTAGTGTCTGCGTATAATTTGAAATCAAGACGATCTTGTCATCTGACTCGTCCTTAATTTTTGACAACATTCTATATATTTCAAAGAGATAAGTTATAAATATTATCTAACAAAATTTGTGCCTAAATGACAAATTTTACAATTGCAGTACCTATCCAAAACCAACATTTTTCCAGAAAATTCTGGTTTAACTATTCGTGCCTTTTCCTTTATTGAATAATCTTGCGGAAAACATGTTTCCGATCCTTTAAGATCTCCTGGAAGATCAAGCAAGTCGGGATGATTACATAACTTTTTAAGGATAGTTATAGCTGTAAAAGTGACGTGTCATGTTAATATATGGAAAACTAGCGTCCAGATATACATTTAAAGAATGTGTACCTTTAAGAGGCTGTGAACCGATACCACGCAAGAGACGTTGGATTTCAGGAGATGTCATGAACAATTCGTATAGTGACAATTGGAACTCGCTTAGGCGACAAAATACGACATGTTCGTATTTTACGGGTACTAGAATTTGTCAAATGAAATCAGTTTATCATATTTAAATATATTCAACCCCTAATAAAATGGAATATTTACAATATTTTGATAAAATGTCGTTACTTCGCCTTATAATAAACTTGCTCGCAACACTCAACAGTTCTGCTAACTTTTGATCACTAATGTATCGTTCATGTTCGGATGCATCAGCATCTCTACCACGAAGGATAGGATTCTCGTAATTCCTGCGAAATTCGTTGGGCGTACCAAGAAGTCCAGGGTTGGTAAAGTTTAAAAGCGAGAAATATTCGGAGAGATCGTTCTAAACAAATAAAATAACAAAAGGAAACCATGATATATAATATATACTATGTTAAACAATACAATAACTGTTTACTGTAACTACCTGAATTGGTGTACCGGATAAAATAACTCTTCGTTGTACCTGTAGCGAATTTAAAGCCTGGAACGTCAACGAATCTGAAAATAAATAAATAAATTAATTAATTAACATAACGAAAGATCACAAAACGCGTTCCAATCAAATAAGCAACGACGAAATGAACCACCCACTTACTTGAATTCTTTAAGCGATGACCTTCATCGCATAAGAGAAGACCAATCTTACACTCCTTTAATTCCACAATATTTGCACGTAATGTCTCATATGAAATGATCAAAACTTTTTCACAATTAAACGATAGAGATAAAAAAAATGATCATCTTAACATTTATTCTTAAATAATTAATTGGCTGACATAGTTTTCGACATACCAGAATTAATAATCATTCGACCCTGAGCATCGGCAAAATGTTTCAGATCTTTCATCACATTTTCTTTCCCTCCTTTGTTATCGATTACTAGCGGTTTGATTCGTAAAGAGCCTAGCCATTTAACTAGCAGAATAAAATTAAAATTAATACTTATGATAACACAAAAGTGACAAATTTCGAATTTACATGATAGGATACCAAATTCATTAGCCCAATTTGTTACAAGACTTGATGGACATGCGATGATACATTTCTCTATTGTTTTCTTGTTAAATTCAGGAGACTGTTTAAGTAGTGTCCACAGAAGGGCGATACATTGAAGCTATATTTATGAGAATTATAAACACCAAATATGATCAACCAATTTGTTTTATGTGTATATGTGTGTGTGTACAATTAATCAAATGCATACAGTTTTTCCAAGACCCATTTCATCTGCCATTATACACCTACAAATAAAAACAATAATTGTAAATAAAATAATAATAAAAATAATAATAATGATTTGATTCTCTTAACGTATGTACCCAAAAGCTCCTTCTACGGTCCTTCCGGTGGTACAATTATAAAGAAACTTTTTTGGAATTATCAAAAAAGTAAAGATCATTAATATTTAAAATAAACAGTACCAATAAATCATACACGTAAATCGTACCTTTACGCCTTCAACCTGATGAGGACGAAGTTTTTGCCCCAAAATTGGATCTAATAGCAGAATGTCAATACCCAGAAAGAATCATCACGTTGATTGAATAGAAAGATATAAATCAAATCACCATACCAACAATGACAGGAACTTCTTGATTAGCCGGATTTTTAGTCCCTAAAATTTCCGCCACGGATTTATCCTTCTTTTTAATATCCTGATCTTTATTATCCAAGGGATCATAAAGTATAATCGCGTTTTCCGCCTTAGGATTATGTGCTGGTCTTACAAAGGCAAGGTGCTTATGGGATAGTGGACGTTGTTGACCGTTCTGAGGCTCAACATTTCTAATAAATGTAGGAACTTTAAAAGGACGCGACAATTTTTTTAATGAAAAAGTTGAGCTAATACAGCTAATCTTTTTAGGAGGGGAAGAGACAGGTAAATTATCATTGAAGTTCCCTTCTTTTGGTTTTTTGTGAGGAAGTTCAATATTATCCTCCGCGTCGGAAACAACGTTGTTCTTTCCTAAAGGTTTTAAAAGACGAGAATTCTTAACTGAATCATCGATTTTATTGCGCTTTGCTGGATACGTGACTGAATACTTGATACTCTTAAAGGGAAGACTATCTTGAGGAACTATAAAGGGAGTTTTGAAATCGTTATTCTTGCTTTTGCGCATCTTTTGCTTATGTAACTATGTAACTATTGTAACTAAAAGAAGTAATAATAGGCAAAATACAAAATATGTAAACAGTCCAAGAGTAGTCTAATTTATTAATAGGGTCGATCTTTTTTTTTATACTGTATAACCATCAAATATTTTTATATGCGCGGTAAAAGTAATTTTACAAAATTCGAGGGATAATTCTGGCCAAAATTATTGCAAATCGTGTAATCACGTGATGATATTTTAAAATATAAATCCGAGTCGTTTTCATTATATTAGCTACTTTATCAAAAGTCCGGTCATTACTTCGGAAAGTATATTTCATTTTCATCATGCTCAATTAGTTCTTTATTTACAAATTACAAGACTTTGATTATTATTGATAAATTGATTTACAGGAAATATATTGGTTATTCATTTATTACTTGTTTCAATTTTATGTATTACAATCATTTTAACTACAATACATCACGTGATTGCTCACTTTTTAAATAAATTCTAATTCTTTTGGTTTTATTAATTCTTTATTAGATGAACCAAAACATATATCTAAAATTTGAGTTCTAACTTAAAGTTCTATATGAGAAAATGAGAAAAATATACAAAAATATTCTAGTAAACTATTAATTCTTAAATTTACACTAAAAAAAAAATTACTTTAAAAAAAGCGAAGAAAAAAAAATATCAAGGCAATCTAAGCTCCGTGTGTCGGTGCGATACTTCATCAGAGAATACTGCTGCGCCGTATGCCGAGCTTTATAACTTCTTCATGCCGATTTCGAAATAAGATCAGTACTTAGGTATAGGCTCATTGACAGTGACCCGCGTTCGATCACATCCTTAGGTATCTCACCATTTGACAGTGACCAGCTTCATAATCACCCATGAACGTTTTTTTTTTCTTTGAGGATGGTTTTTATTTAAAAACCATTAAAAAAATTAAGCACCCATGGATCGGTTGAAATTTGCTGCGGAAGGTTCCGTAGCCGATCCAATGTTTCTTGATTGTCGAAGGACTGAATGAATCTTTGATTCATTCGCTGTCTTCTTCGTTTATGAATGATACTTAAATACATTGTTAGGAATATTTTACGATCCAAATATGATTGAAAATTCATGGTATTTATAAAAAAAAAAAAGTCAGCAAAAAGAATGATGTAATATTTTTAAATTTTAAATTGGGGTAACCCTGATGATGCTGATCCCTCCGATCCGTTTTAATATATTGTCTTGCTTAATTAGTTTAATGCATCTAATGCACAAGTAAATATTTAATTGTTATATTTTAGATTCTAATGTTAATTACCTGTTATCGATCAGGATACTTTTGTTGTAAGAAGAAATGGATTGATATCATAATACAGGAATGATGCCATACTTGTATATTTTGTATATTTTATATTAATATTTGAAGCATTAATGCTTTCATTCAAAATTAGGTAATGTAGGAAAACCCGAATAAAATAAGAATCAATTTAATATAAAAATATGAAGTGCAACGCATTACAAAAATAAAAAAAAAAGTTAAAATTAAGATATATCACAATATGCACCACCTGATATTTTTTTAAATGCCAAGTGATATACAAATTATGAGAACAAACGTTTCTTGTGTAGATTAATTTAAATTTAAATTTCAACTTAATAAATTAAAATTAAATGGATAATTTCACAAAACCGAAATACCCGAATTCAATATGATTTTTTTTTTTAAAGGAATATATATAATACAACGAAAATGCCATATATAACATACATGAATGCTATCTAGATAGATTAACTGATAATGTGCCAATTTTTTTTAAAGAAAATAGTATAAATAAAAAAATAATAATGATGCAATCTTTACAACGGAAAGTAAATAATATTTCCGAATAACCGAATTCAATTGCCTCGAAGGATTAACATTTTACGTTTAAGGGAGCCGATACATTTTGTTATACCTTAATTTAATTTTTTTTTTTTTTTAACTAATGAAAATTTATTAAATACAAATAGATTAACAAAAATAAAGGGTAAATGCTACATGAATGCTATCTAGTTGGATAACGACAAAGGTGCCACCTTTTTTTTTTTTAAAAAAAAAAAAAAAATATTAAATAGTAGTGTAAAATAAAATAAAATAAAATAATAATAATGCTAATTTTTTGGGTACCAAATATGAATTAAGGGAGCGCGGAATCAGCAGACTTTTTAAAGTAATTTTTTTAGGGTTAAATTGGTTAACCAATTAACCTAAAGATAATTTTAGTTGACCAATCAAAATAAAAGAAAATTTTTTTACACAGTTATAATATTTATTATTTTTTAAAAAAATAAAAGTGCGGTAGCTCCACAAAATCTTTATTGAATAAAAAATAAAATAAAATACATATTCATAGAAGTAATTATTTGTTTACGAAAATATAATGTTAATTAACGGAATATTAACCGGTTAACCAAATCGTTAATTTCCCATCCCTAATTGTTTGATTTAGATTGTGATACATGATTTTTTAATACATTGACAAAAAAAAAAAAAAAAAATTTCGAAAAATAAAAAAATGAATACATGAACAAAAATATCCACAACCAAAAAACAAATAAAATGAAAAAAGTAAAAAATAAGCCACCAAAAGAGAAGATATAACAAGAAACCTAGCTCTCCACGAATGGAAGCTTTTCATACCGAAAAAGAAAGAGTATTAGATATAGGCCATTGCCAGTGAATCTCCGTCCTATTGACAGGGATCAGTATCAATAATCTCTTAATTTTTGGAGCGTCTCTGTCCACCAGTATTGTTTAGTTCACTAAATCGTTCTCTTGTTTGCTTGTATGTATTCATAAGTATGTGTGATTCGTACTTTTGCATTTTTCTTGGTATCATAATTTACAAATCTTAATTTTTTTTATTAATAAATTCTTTTTTCTTTTTTTTTTTTTGTTATCTTAGATGAACGAGTAACCGTTGAAAAAAGAATTTATAAAAGGTATATTTGAGTTTTGTCTCGGTAAGTTCGAAATCAGGCTCAGCGTCTCTTGATTATTGGTAATTCGAACGCGTTTTAAGTACGTTCTATGTTTTCTACATTGCCTCCTTTGATTAACGCAACGGGTGAAGTTTTTTGAATACATTATCGGATGTAATTTATTATGAAAGGTAATTTACAAACGCTGGCTGTGGTTTGTATTTATATCGAAAACCCGCCTAAGAGTTCCCATATATTTTTTTTTTTTTACTGTTAACATGACTTTAAAGTATGATCTCATGTATTTAGAACTCAGTCATTAATAGAAATGATTACTTGTAAAGATGATTTTGTTTTATTCTAATAAAATAATATATATATATATAAATAATAATATATTATATGATATTAAATAAATTTTTATAAAATTAAATAGTACATATTTCTAATTCATTATCATTTGAACCTACTTTCATATATATTTACAAGCCATATTCAGCCAACTAACATATAGATCAATTTTGTGTTTTGATGTTTATGCTTACATCAATAAATTCTTCACCTTTTTAAAAAATGGGAAATGATAGTCTCTATAAAGATAGATGATCATTATTGTAAAAATCTTCATTCCAATTCTATGTAATAAATGTAAATAGCTTTTATATGTACTTCCTTAAAAAAAAAAGGATTGACAGTTTAACCAAAGTTACAATAGTTAGAAATAATAATAATCTAATTTTATTATCCCTACTTTCACATGCTACTATGTTTATGCAGACAAAATTGCCTGAGGTTACGCCTGTTTGGGATCAACGATTAGGAAAAAAAAAAATCATTTAGGGAATGATTTCAATTTATTAGGCGCGACAATTTTTCCTTAAGGTTTGACCACCATCATTACGTCAATTGGTCGAAAATTATATCAACAAAAACATTGAGTCTCGTTATGTAATGAAGTAATTTGTAATTGGTAAATAGGTTGCATACATTTAACATGGGAAAACTCAATTACCAAATCGAGTAAATTAGAACTTTAAAAAAAAAAGTATCAACCAAAATGTAAATCCAATAATAGATTTTTGCCTTTAACCCCTCAAAAATTTATTATTGAACCGCAGCAGCAATCAAATTTTTTTTAATTTGGCAATCAACATGTCTTAACTTTTAATTTCCCTCCTTCCCTCCTCCTGATTACCCGAGTTTCTACGGGACGGGCCTATTTGATTCAAACCGCCCAGTGCCACTCATCCCAAGTGGAATGATTTTTTGTAATTGGGTAGTTGAATCTGATAAAAAACTCACTTCAATGAAATGCGGAGTGGTCTGCACTTTTAACTTTTATGGGGAATATTTAAGTGTCAAAAAAAAAAAAATTGGGGAGTTTTTTTTTTGTTTTGAATACCGAAATAACGAGATCCGCAATTTACAAGTTTTTTTTTAATGGGCTTTTTTTTTTTTAAAAAAAAAAAAAAAACTTGACATGATTACACACTCTAATAACGGTCTCATCTAATCAAATTTCCAAGTTTATAAAAAAAAAAAAAAACATTACGAAATTATTACCTACATTGAAAGAATCGATGATCATTTTATTGAGGTGGAACACTACCTTTTTTTTTTTTTTTTTTTTTTTTTTTTTTTTTGAAACAAACATCCAACCGCGTGAACTGCATAACCAAAATTGAAATCTAAGTTTCATGACAATCGAGGGGGTACATATTTCTAGACTATTCGATCAATGTTCTGAAAACCCATTCTTTTTTTGATTAAATTAATTCTTGATAATGTTTGAATAAAAATGGTTAGCTCAATAGTAAAATAAACGGAATACATCGCAAGAAAAAAGAAATATTACTCCTCCTTTGGCTTACTCAAGAACAAACAACAAAAAACCAAACGATCTGGAATGTCGCAAAAAGTCAAAAGAAATCTAGCTCCGTGTATCAGCGCGAATCTTCTTCAGAAAATATGCACCGTATGCCCGGGCTTTGTAACTTCTTCATACCGATCAAGTGTATTTCGGTACTTAGGTATAGGCCCATTCGGCAGTGACCTGCTATTAC